GGCGGCGGGCCGGGCCGCGCCCCTGTCGCAGCCATGGGGCCGGCCCAGCTGCTGCTCGCCGAGGCCGTGAGTACCCGACCATACCCCACCCCTCCCCGCGGGCGGCCGCCAGGGACCCATCACCCGCCGCCTCGTGAGGCCCGGGGCCGGCGGCGCTGCGGGTCTGTGAGGGCGGTGGGAGGCCCGGCCCGTGCACAGCCCTAACACTAGGGCTCCCTGCTCTTCCCTCAGCACCTGCTGGCTCAGGAAGGAGGTGGTTGTGGGCCCGTGGCCTGCTCCACTCATTCTTCCCTGACACCCTGCCTTTGGGTCTGACCCGCACAGCTGCCCCAAGCAGTGCCAGGTGATGCCTTTCCTTAGCCAGGATGCTCTTGTCACAGAAATACTGGCTGTGTTTCATTTGACCACCTTGGGGAAAAGCCTGGGCAAGCTGAGTTTATTGAAGCTGGGGGCTGGACCCCCACCAACAAAGCCAGCTGGGGACTTAGAAGGATGAAGACTTAATTTTTATTTGGCCAGTCCTTCATCAGGCACTGTCCGTGTGAGTGCCACCTGTGTGCTGTGCATAAGTCTTAGGGCTGCTGGCTGGGTAGTGTAGCATGTGTGTTGCAGGTTTTTGGCTTCCCTTCTTTGGTCGACCTAGAAAGAGTTCAGGAAGTGGCCTGGAAATGCCACAGCCTTTTGCAGCTGAGTATCATCTTAGCTCTTGTGGGTCTGGCATATGCAGGTGAGCAGCGTGACAGGAGATGGAACCTGTGCTCTGAGCTATAAAAACTGCCAACAAAATGTAGACTAGAGTGATGGGATTGTGTTGGGAGGATTTATACGCCATTGCTGCTTCTACATCAGGGCATGCTCTGGCACCATTTGGGCACAACAACAGTGCAGATTGGTATCTGATATTTTTCTGACTCCTTTGTCTCTTGAGGACTCTTCTGAAAAATATAAAGGATGTCTTTGGCAATCCTTCACAGTTGAGGATGATTGTCTTCCATGATTGTGTGTCTGAAGATGGCTGATGGGGCCTATCTGGGTTAAACAGTCTACTGCAGCTCAGATGTATTTATGTCTGGGGTGGATGATGCTGGATTCTTGATTTTAGGTCCTGGACGCCCTGCTTCTGCCACTCCCATTTTTCCATCTCCTGTTGTTGTCATGAGGTTTCAAAGTACTGAGATCCATGCAGCTCCATTTAGAGCGGTCCTGGGCGATAGTCTCCCACGAGTTGACATAGGTTGCATTTTTTTAAGTTGGCCTTGAGGATGTCCTTGAAGCATTTCATCTGCCCTCCTGCTGAGCATACCTTTTGAGCATACACCTTACATACTTACATAAAGGGTGTAAATAATGGCTATTTAGGAAATTCATACACATGATGTACCTCCCCAATACACATACCTCATTCGGCTTTGCAGCAGCACTGCAGCTAATGCCTAAGCAACAGCTATGTCTCTGCAATATGAAAAGAACAAGATTATTAGGAAGTTGATAAACAGAAAGGTGATCATTCATACCACCCGGTATTATTTGGTAAATCTGTTTACCTCTCAGTAATATTTCAGTAAGCACCTGTTTCTCTCCCAAGAAGTGATGCATCTCTGGGAGATCTGTTGTGTTACAAGGGAATAAGAGAAGGGGAAATTACTGGGTTGTATAGAAAATCTTGGAGAGATGTGATTTCTCCAGCATATTTATTTCTCTTTCTCTTAGAAGGAAGCATGAGAGGCAAGAGACAAGGTAGTTTCAAAACAAAGACAGGAGGCAAAAACAACATTAAAAGTAAGAAGTTGAATGGCTTTAAAAAAAAAAAAAAAAAGCCAAAAGACAACACTTAAGTTGGGTGGAGTTGCAGACACTCTAAAGAGTAGAGCTAGGATACAGAATGACCTGGATAATTTGGAAAGTTGGACCACAGTCAGGTCAGTGTGATTCAACAAGGACAAATGCAAAGTCATATGCATGGGATAAAATACTTGCATGCATGCACAAATACAGGTTGGGGAATGACTGGTTAGGCTGCAGAACTACAGAAAAGGACTTGGAGGTTATTGTGGACCATAAGCTGAATATGAGCCAACAGTGTGATCTTTTTGCAAAAAAAGCCAACTGTGTGCAGGGTTGTATTAATAGGAGTGTCACTTGCAAATCAAGGGAAGTGATTTTTCCACTCGCTTCAGCACTGAGGCCTTTCCCAGAGTGTTATGTCTATTCTTCCCCCCCACTTTTAAAAAGCATGTGTACAGATTGGAAAAAGTCCAGCAGAGAGCAACAAAAATAATTAGAAGCCTGGGAAACATGACTTGTGAGGAAAGTCTGAAAGAGCTGGGGTTTGGTCTGCAGAAGAGCAGATTGTGGCAGGGAGGGGCTTTGATAAAAGTCTTCAAATACCCGCAAGACAATTATCGTGAGGATGGAAATGGTAGCTCTTCAGGAAATTCATACACACGATGTACATCCCCAGTGCATATACCTCATTGGTATACTTCATTTACAGCAGTGCTGCAGCTAATGCCTAAGCTTTTCTCTGTGGCTGCAGGGGTCAGAACTAGGAACAGAGTCCTCAAGAGTCAGCAGGGAAATGAGGTTGGAGATTAGGATGCACTTTCTGACTATGAGACTGGCCAAGTATTGGAACAGGTAACTGGGAGAATTTGTGGAATTTCCATCCTTGGAACTTTTTAAGGGCAGACAGTTGGCTGGGATGGTTTAGCCAATGATGATCCTGCCTGGAGCAGAGGGCTGGACTAGATGACTTCGTGAGGTCTCTTCCAGCTTTCCTTTCCTAAGAAATTAAGGTTTTTAATAACTTCGAGTAACCATGTAGAGATAGCAGTATTCAGCAAAATATAAGCCCGCCAATGGCTTGGCAAAACTTTTAAATGATACTTTTTACTTTCCAGTATCATATTTGCAAGTGTGAGAACATAGCCCTCACACATTATCATAATCTTCATGAAGTAATGTTGGTAGGCAGGAATTTCTTTTTACAGCTAGGGTAAGTTGTACCTTCCCGCTCCTTTTAAAGTGGTGCTATTTCTGTTAGTTGTTTGCTAACATATATTATTACAGGGTTTATTGAGCTGGGCACCATACAGTCAATCTCTGCTCCAGAGAATTTTCAGAAGAGGAGAGAAAGAGTATGAGAAGGGTTTTAAGATACAGGAAGAGTGACCATTTGCAAATGTCATATTATTGTATTAATTGTAGGGACAATATCACATCTACTCTGAAGCCTGTGCTCACCTCCAACTTACTACTTAGTGCAGTGTCATTTTTGGTTTATAAACTCTTCTGTGGTTTGTATCTGTCTTTTTAAGAGGCTGTCCTGGCAAAATTGCCATGGTTGATGAAAACAACAAGAACTCGCAAACTGGTGGAAGAGTCCAGATTCAGTAATTGTCTTCAATTCAGTAATTATTCTCTCAGGCTTTTGTTGTAGGGGGATGAATCCACATGTGAAATTAATATGATGTAATTAACTGCGCCAGCATTGGCTGCTCCCAGGTGCAGTGTTTACATATGTACTTGGGACCGCAGCATCTTGAGCCAGGGTGGAGCGGACCCAGTCTGGCAGGGGACTGAGGGGGTCAGCCCCAGGCTTCAGGTGCCTCTATTGGGCAGCAGAGGGGCTGGCTGAGGCTAGCCAGCAGGCAGCCTCTACACTTTAGCACCCTTGTGCCCCAGCCAGCTCCTGTTACAGTCTGCATGTATGTTTGATCACGTGCAAGTACTTTGCCATACCATACTTATGGCAGAGTTAATTTACTGCTCCCTAATACCTGCGCATGCTCCACTGAGGAGCTGATTAGTCTACTCTGCAGTAAATTGTATGTGTAGATGTACCCAGGATGTAGGAATTGGCACCCAGTCCAATATCCTGTATATCACAGTAAGCAATATCAGATGCTTACAAAGGAGGTGCAGAAACATCTTGGAAAAAATTGTCCCCACATAAGTATCATTCTGATTTCTATGAGTTAGAGGTTGGCTGAACATGATTTATTATCTCTTCCAAAATGTGATGTCACTAATTCTGAGAATTTGGGGTCTCCTTAACATCTATACAAATGTCCAGTATCTTTTTGAATTTTGTAACAGTCTTGGTCTTAGTGAGTTTCTGTAGGAGCAAATTCCACAGTTTAATCCCAGATGGAAAAATGTTTCCTTTGGTTTGGTTTTTAATTTCTTTCAGTTCAGAAATCTTTCATTTTCTTTGGATGTCCATTTGTTCTTGCATTATGAAATGGGGAGATTAGAAGTTGTCAGTCTCTGTTTTTATACCATGTACTGTTTTATATACTTTTGTTATGACTACTTTTGCTTCACTGCTTTTTCAGTCTCTATACATATGCCTTCTTCTGTGTCCTTGACCATTCTGATTACTTTTCTCTAAATCTTATGTTTTCTGCAATATCTTTTTTGAGATGTGATGACTGGTTCTGCACACATTATCTCAGCTGTGGCTGCACCATTGATTTATATGAAAGCATTGTAATACTGTTTTTATTATTCATCATCTTGTGCCTTTGCATCCTAACATCTCTGGCTTTCTTTGACCACAATTGCACACAGTACAGAGGACTCATTGAGTGGTCACAGTGATTCCAGCTTCCTTTTTTTGAGACGATAAAATTAATTTAAAATCCTCTAATATATATGCATAGCTTTAATTTTATCCATCCAGTATCCAGTAATTTACGTGTATCAATGTAGAATGCTATTTGCTGTTGTCTTTTCCATTCACCTAGCTTGACTGAGTCCATCTGAAGGTCTTTAAAGACTGTACTAGAGTTAGCTAACCTCAATTGATTCTGTGTCATTGTTCCTAAATATAGCTACCTTATTGGTTACCCCCTTCCCAGATTATAAATGAATGTATTGAACAACACCCAGGATGTAGTAAAAGACTTTGAGGTTCTTAAATTCACCATTTAATTGTATTTTCTTTCTGCCTCAGCTAATTTTTCATTCATGAAAATACTTTGTTTTTCATCCCATGACTAGTTAGGCTTCTAGTAGACTCTTCCATGAATCTGGTCAATTTTGGGGGGGAAATCTAAATATGTTGGCTGGTTCTCCTTCCTCTACTATACTATTCCTTGGCTTATTTGTAGAATACTAAGACATTAGTGAGACACGATTTTCCTTTGCAGAAACTGCTAGTTAGATTTGGTTATATCAAAATCTTTCAGATGTCCTCCTTTTACCACTTTTATTGCCATTTCAAAAAATTAGCCGGGAACAGGTGTAGAGCTTACAGGCCTCTAATTCCCTTCATCACCCCAAAAGCTGTTTTTTAAAATACAGGTAGAACATTTCTTTGGAGTAGCCACTTTGTAGGTAAAATTTGGGGAAAGTATTCAGCTTTCTTACTGGGTTGGAGAGACTACTTGAGTTGATGGGGCAAGTATGTATTTTATTTTTAAATAATCTAGGTGTATGGGGAGATTAAATAAATCCATGTATAAAATGATTCGGAGGATGTGATAAAATGAAGTGGTCTGTGAGAGAATATAGTCACTTTGCATTATATTGTGTGTGTATGGGAGGGGGAATATACTTATTTATCCAATGAGTTTAGCTGTTTAGAAAGTAACAACTGCATTTTTTTGTTGTTGTTGTTCTTAAATTGGAAGTGAAGCACTGTGGAGATTATTATGCTGTCATCATTTTTCTTCATTAAGCTTACTGGTGATGTTGTTTTAAATTATTTTCAGGTACAGAGCCGGGATGGCTATGATTCTGATTTTAGTGATGATGAGAGAGGAGAGAAATCTGTCAAAAGGTAATTGACCTTGTATTTTGTATTTCTTTTTTTTTTTTCCAGAAAGACTTACATCTGTAAACCAGAGACCCTGGCATAGTGGGTTAACTCTGATATTGAAACTGTTTATGAAAAATAAGACTAAACGTTTGATTCCTGTGTCTCTTGCTCCTCAGGCTTGTCAGAGCCTGTTGTCTTCAAGGAGCAACTGAGAAATATCAGTTCTGCTACATCCATCTGGTGTCTCTGTGCCTCTTGTTTCTCACAGTTGAGTGCTTCATTTTCCAAGCATTAGCATCAGCTGCTGGGGTTTGGCTGCTCTGTTTACTTTCCTGTCATTTTTCTACACCCATCAGGACCTGTGGAACTGCTAAGAGAGATCAAAGCATCCAAGGCCAGGTGGCAGCAGGCCTTGTAGGAATAGAACACCTGCCTGAAGAAAATGAATTGCTGATGCGGCTTGATTGTTACTTAATTTTTTCCAGCCCGTTTTCTGTGACAAACCTGAATTCAAGAGACCTAGGAAAAGGATCAAATTCCACTTAGCCCTTGAGATGTAAAAAAAAATTCCCTTCTTTAAACCCAATTCCTTGTTAATTTCTTTAGTGGTTAATACAAATTGCCACCCTGAACTTTGCATTTTTACTGTCATCTTTATTGGGGAAACTTTTGGTGCTGTGTAAATGTGCTTTCCAAATCATTTGTCCACAATACTAAAATTTTTGGCTGTCTTTATTTTTCCTCAAGGACTTTTTTATTCTTCAAGTCTTCTTGCTTATCAGGCTCCATTACAATCAGGTTTTGAGCACAATGTATTATTTTTCTCTTTAAGGGTGGTAAAGGGATATGTTTTGTGTTGGATTCGTTTTGGGCCTGACCTTCAAAGTGCTTTACTCATTAGAAGAAATTTAGCCATTGTGCTGGGTTGTTTTAGATTTTGTAGCTGTTATCTATTAAAAATATTCAAGGTTTTAGTTCAGTCTTAGTTTGTTTTTTTGTAATGCATAATGGCACTTACATCATGCAAATTGCCAAATGAAATATTCAACACTGGGAGCTGTTTCAAAGAAATCATCTTCTTTACCATTTGTTCTGGCATACTCTTTCTGGCTCTCAGTAATGTTCTAATGAAGGTTCACTGCCTTGTGTTGAAATGTATTCCCACATTTGCAAAAATACCTAAAAAAAATCTCCCTCATGGCATTGCCTTTGTGGAGCCATTCCTTGCTTCCATCCCTCCCTGCAGTAGGAACTGTGCGCCCAGCCACGTAGTCCAGGATGTTTGTGAACAATTGGTGCATCTAATTCTCTAAAGTTCTATATTCCATAGATTAAAAATATAAATACTGTGCTTCCTGCTTCATGGGTCTCTGACTTCCTCTCTACCCAACAATTGGGGCCAGAATAAAACTAAGTACTCCTTTGCTCAAAATGATGGGCAAATAGGTCTAACTAAATATGTAAGGTTGAGGTTAAAAAAGCTTCCATTTTATTTTGTTTTTACTATTTTGTTAATTTTTTTTTAAAAAAATTTAGTTTAGGAACTAACAGTGCTTTTCAGCCCACAGCTTCAGAGGGGTCAGTGTTAGTAAATCTACTACTGCAGAGTTCTGTGGGGACAATACCATAAGAGGAAGAAAAAAAGCGTTATTGACAGTAATTTGTCTCTAAACATGTTGGTTCTCTAGAACCTTCCTTTCTCTTCTCTGTTTTGGAACATAGGTCTATATAGTTACTTCAGAGGTAGAGAGAAGCAAGGGATTATTAAAGGAGATGCTCTGGTCCTTGGCCTATGTAATATAGATCTCGAAGGAACTCGACAGGTCTGCTATCTCAGCAGATGCTCCAAATGGTTCACCGGCTGTGTGGCTCTTATGCTGTGATTCTGAAAAAGACAGTATTGTTGGAATATAAGAGGTGCTCTCTTAAGGGATTCTGTATCTGCCACTTAGAAGCAGGTGCCTTTCTAGACATGGTTTTTAATACGAACCTAATGAAGTATATCCAGACTCACCACTCTCTTTCAATTTGATTTTATTAACACAGAAATTAATAAAACAGATGATGCTACACTGTACGACAATGCTATATCATTAAAACTTTTTATGTTCAAGTTGGTGGGTTTCAAAATTCCATTTGGTGCATTAGAATATATTGTATATGGAAATTATTGACTAATTCTTTGCTTTTTCCTCACCCATAGAACAAGTAATGAAGATGCTCTTCTTGTAAAGCCATTCCAGAAAGTAAAACAGTGCAAGGTGGCACACCGACAAGTTGCAGCAGAAGAATGGGATAGGTATCGGTCACTTTTATCAGAGACTGTTTTTTATAAAAACGAAACATTTACTCAAACAAAATAACTATTTCTGCTCCTAGGGAAGAAGCAAGAAACAGGAGATTTCATTTGATATCCATGGATGCTGTATCCTTTAATTTTTTTTGTTTACATGAGCAAAAACAAGTTTTTTCTCAGGTTTTCACTTAGGGGCAAATCTTCTTGCCAGAAAAATTTAATGCAAGACTCCCAGTTACCTGGAGAATTTCTGTGCAGTTGTAGAGCTTGGGTGTTGTTTCAAATAACTTTTTCTTTGCCATTATGGTCTAGGTCAGGGGCGGGCAGTTATTTTGGGCAGAGGGCCGCTTACTGAGTTTCAGCATGCCATCGAGGGCCGCATGACAGGCAGCCCAGGGCAGATTAATATTAATTTTCTAAACTTTTTAGGGGCCCTGCAGGCCGGATAGAATGGCCTGGCAGGCTGCATCCGGTCCCTGGGCTGCATTTTGCCCACCCCTGGTCTAGGTATTTCTTATTTGCCTGCGTAAGGTGTTTTTAAATTCACCCTAACATAATCAGTGCTTAACCAGCAGCATACTTCTGACTAAATTATTACATGCATTGAACATGTTTTGTTTTGTTTGTAACAACCAGCCTTGGTCCTTTAATTTCCCTCTCTTTTGAATGTACACAGAAAGTAATTCCATGTGAAGCTAACATTATCCAAGTATACTTATTCATCCTGGAAAACCAGAAACCCGGTATCTAGTTCAAACTATTCAAGAAAACATCATTTTAGGTAATGCCTTTTACACACATTATGCTACAGACCAATTTAACAATATTTTTGAACCAGACTGTCATGTCTGATTATTTTTGTACTTCAGTACAGAAATTCAGCAAAACTATTATTTTGCTGAATTACAAAATGTCTCCTGTAAAATAATTTTTCTTTGTATGGAGTTTATCTCAGAAATAATTATTTCAATGATGAAACCAACTTATAATGCAGGGGTCAGCAACATACACAGAGCCACAGGGCCTGTGCTGGGGCTGAACAGCAAGGAACTGCTCCAAGGCTAGGGAGCTGGAAGCTATGCCCATGTTGCTGCTGCTTCTCTCTGCCCTTTCTTTGTCCTTTTCCAAGGCTGCAGCACTGGTGCATCTTCCAACTAGAGGGGAGCTAGAACCTGTGCCTGTGCTGCTGACACTTCTTGCTACCCCTCCCCCTCTTTGCCCCCCCACCCAAAGGCTGCTGTTTGAGCGCACTTCTAGCCAGTGGTGAGTGTGCCAGGGTCGAGCTGGTTTTAGGAGGTGCAGAAGGGAATGGAAAAAGTGGCAGCAGCATGGAAACAGCTTACAGCTTCTTGGCTCTGGTGCAGCTCCCCTCTACTGGAAGCTGTGCTCATGCTGTAGCTACAGAGAAGGAGGCTGGGGAATTGGCAGTGGCACAAGTGCAACTCTCAGCTGTGTGGCTCTAGTGGGGGTGCAAGGAAAGCCCTGCTGATGTGCCGCTAAAGCCACTTGGCCCATATTGGACAGGGGCTGGATTGTTCCAGCTTGCAGCTTGAAAAAGCTTGCTGGCCCCTGCTGTAATAGGGGAAGGTGAGACTTTAGCAGTAGAGAATGCAGCATTTTGTGGTCCATTATACCTATTCACCTGAGTTGAGAAGATTGTGACCCACAAAACATGTTTTTGTGATTTGTCACACTGTAATATGTTGATAGTAATGTGTTGTATTCTATTGATCGCCAGTCTGGTTGGTAAACATATACTATAAGACCTGTCTATGATGGTCTTTACATTCTGACTTGTTTATGGTTACTTTGGTCTTTTATGATCAGCATATATGGATCTGTTTCAGGATCCTGCAAAATAGAATAGGAAGATTTTGAAGAGTTATATTTTTTTTACATGTATTAAAAACCCAGACAGACAGCTTGACACCGTACTGATGTTACTCTCATGAGCACAGAAAAATGACCAAAATCTTTCCTTGTTGTCAACATTTGAAAGAATTCTGTATAAGTATAGTATTATTGATTTTTATCATAACTTGGTTTCCCAGTAGCTGAAGTGACTGTTGTTCATCAGTTTCTGCCACTTAATTGATATTTACCCATCAACTCATTTGACAGGTGTTGGTGTGTTTTTTCACTTTCTCCAACTCTTCATTTTCAAGAAACTAGGAAAGTGTTGTGTCTATTCAAATCTTTCTTGTGACAGACAATACTTCAAACTCAAGGCAGTTTTCATTTTTTCTTTACATATTTTATAGAGGTGCACTGATACATTGGTCTGATATTGGATCAGCACCAATATAAAGAAAATTAACTGTATTGGAAATCGGCCTGATGTAGCCGATTAATTTGGCCAGATCAACGCCCCTGTGGTGAGGGAGGGAGTGTGGTTGGGGCTGGGGCAGATGCTGCCCAGCCAGGGCAGGGTGCAGGATTGAGTCGTAGCTCATCCAGGGGGATGCGGGGAGAGGGGGGTGGCTCCCACTGATGTGTGCACCCCTGGAGGGCATGTAGGCGGGTGTGTGCCTCTGGATCTGTATGGGCAGGATGGGCAGCTGCAGCCTCCCCTCCCCTCCCTCCCATGCCCTCCCAGGATGCGCATAGTGGCAGGAGCCACCCCCCCCGCCATGCTGCCTGGATGAGCCACGGCTCCGTAGCACACCCTGTCCTGCCCTGGCTGGGCAGAGCCTGCCCCAGCCCCACTCTCTACCTCAATGCGGGAGGCGTTGATCTGCCCCCCAGTGCCCTTCCTTCTCCCCTCCCCTTCCACCACAATAGACTGGACACAGCTGTATCGGAAATTGGATCGATATCAGCCGATATGCCTCCTTTTAAAAATTGGCCATCAGTATTGGCCCCCAAAATCTGTATCAGTGCAACCCTGATATTTTATTCTTTAGTGGCATTGGGAACACTTTTTATTATGTCAGTGCAATGGCTGTTTACATTATTGGGGAGCCAGTCTCTCTGAGTATACACTGTTTTCGTTTAATAATTGTCTCTTGAGGCTGTTCACTATGGTCAGACTCAAAGATTAAGTATGCCTATCCCTAATGCATGTACAATATACATGAAAAACAACTCTTGAAAACAGAGCTGTCAATACTTTTGTATCTGGTCTAGTGAATTTAAGTGAAAAATAATGCCACCTATTTTACCCAGCTTTGAAACCTGCAGTCAAATTAATTTTTATTCTGTTGGTACTGAGCATCTGTTCTCCGAATAGTTAAGGAAAGTCCAGTTTGGCAAACTATACTGAGGAATATGTTAAGTAATTTGTAAAACATGAATTCTGAAATGTGGACAACAGGGCTAGTACTGACTTTACTAGTATAATTAGGGGTCTACTGAAGTCGAGGCGGCTGCTGGCTGATTTCACGGGCAGACTGCGGGCCTGGTAGCCATTATCATGGGCAAAGTATATAAGGCCCCCACCGTTCCTCTGACTGGCTGTGGGGCCCCAGTTGCCCTGCTGCTCACTGCTGATTGGCTGCAAGGACTGTTATATGGCCACACTATTCCCCACTGGCTGGTGGTTAGGGGCAGGGCCATATGGTGGACAATGCTTACAGTCAGCAGCAAGAGATGGGAGGGGGGTGGCAGCCATCTTACCATGCCAGCAGCTCCCCTTTACCCTCCTCTGGCAGGCTGCGTGGCTGGACCGCAGTGGACGCAAGGACTGTTGGCTCCCCAGAGGGAGCAAACATTTTATTTTGGTGAGGTTTTTTAGGAAGCTTGCCAAAAGTGTGGACCCCATGCTTTTTCATGAGGCATGGCTGAAATAGTATTTTCTGCAAAAATGGCAAAATTGTGATTTTTGGTAGGTCCCTAGATATAACTAAGTTTCCTTTTGGGCTGGCAGTACAGGCTGCTGGTGCTAAACAGGACATTTTGCTTTAACTTGCTCAACACATATAAATATGCTCAGTTTTCACTGTGGACAATGACTGTCTTGAAAAAGGAAATTTGAATGTAGTTTAGCCAAAATTGTGTTTAAAAAAAAAAATAGATCTACAGCTCATCTCTGGATTCTTTAACTGGAGAAGCTATTCTTTACTTCCATTATGTATTTCCCTCTAATGTAACTATTTGTTGCTGCAGAATGGCTGTGTAGAAATACAGAATGACTGTGTTTCAGTTGTGGGTAAGCAAAATGGTCAAATTTGGTCTGGACAATATGTCTACCACCCATTTTTGTGACGAGCAGTGTGATCCCAAGAAACTTTTGGACAGATCATTAGCCACAGAAACATTTGTTTGCTCTGAAGTACCTTCTTATATTATTGTATAAGAGTCTTTGATTTGATTTCTGTTTTAATTTCTTAAGGAACAATTTTTAGGTTGAGACGTTAGGACTTCAACCATTTTGATATGGTAATTCTGCCAAATTTTACTTGGGAAGTAACGCAAATTAGAATGTGAGATTTAACTGCGTGGAATGGTCTCAGTCATGTTTCTCTTATAAATCAAACTGAAACAAAGGTAACATTCATTAACTTTATATGGTAGAGATGTCCTGAGTTGAACTCTCTTGCACTTTTTTAAGTTGTCTTGTCCTATATTATTTAGGTTGTAAGTTCTTTGGGGTGGGGGTTTTGCCATATGTTTAAGTGCTGTGTTAGTTGACAAGGCTCTACGTGTTGCACACCTTGCTGGGGTCATCTGACTGCAGCAGTCTTTCCTGCCTTGAGCAGGGGGGCTGGAGCTGATGATCTCTGAGGTCCGGTCCAGCCCCTAACTTCTATGAATCTGTTTTGTAATAATATGATGTCCTGGCTGAAGGCTAGTTGCTGCATTGACCAAGAGATAATAAAGTCCTGGAGGAGAGAACTATGCTAGATAACACACTGAAGAGCTCTTCCAAAGGAATTAACACTGCTGTTCTGTCCTTACATTATTTTTCCTGTCCATATATTGTCATGTGTCTACGGTAATCACTTAGTAACACTAATAGCAAAGGCTGATTTTTTTTTTTTTTTTTTTTTTTTTTTTTTTTTTTTTTAAAA